ACACATCATACACACACACACACTGTCAGGAAAACAACAACACTGATGAGAAAAGTAAAAAAACACTCGTCTGACTGCTGCGGCTCTTTCAAAGGCCGTGATGTCATCAAATAGTGACTGACAGGATGTGACAGATATGGACGCAGCGATGACCTTCACTGTCCAACTTTTAATGTCACTCATCTGTTTCTCTTCTGTCCCTCCTCCTCCTCCTCCTCCTCCTCCTCCTCCTCCTCTGTGTGTTGACATAAATCATTTATGAAGTGACATTTCAGCCACACTCCTCCTGTCAATCAAACCGACAGGAGGAGGAGTATTTGTGTTCATCTTTAAAAACGTCTCTCCCCCTCTCTGTCCACCAGGAGCAGTACGTCTTCATCCATGACGCCATCTTAGAGGCGTGTCTCTGTGGTGACACTGCGATTCCAGCCAATCAGCTGCGGTCGGTTTACTACGACATGAACCGATTGGATCCTCAGACCAACTCCAGTCAGATCAAAGAGGAGTTCAGGGTAACGTGTTGATCCATCAGTTCCTCATAATGTTGATATTAGGCTACATTTAATATTTAATTAGGTATTTTAGAATATATAATAATAAATAATATATTGTATATATACATATACATATGAAAAATCCCCCTCTCACCCCTTATATATATATATGAAAAATCAAAAACAAACTACCGCACACTGATCTGACTTACTACTTATTGTGAGCAACGCGTTTCGCCCATTGCTTCTTCAGGCTCACATATATATATATATAATATATATATATATACACATACAGATATATATGTATGTATGTATGTGTATGTATAGTGTATATAGATAGATAGATACAGTATACATATGTACGTAAAGGTTTCTATTGAGACAGCCTTTATAGCATCTTTACAATGTTTACTTTATTTATTTATTTATTTATTTATACCAATAATAACAACAAGTCTGGAGTTTTCTACCTTACCGACGGTTCCGCCATTAGGAACATTAATATGCCGTCAGCGAAGGGGGGCAAATCATCGGTTCCCCGTTAGGAACATTAATATGCCGTCAGCGAAGGGGGGCAAATCATCGGTTCCGCCAGTAGGAACGTTAATATGCCGTCAGCGAAGGGGGGCAAATCATCGGTTCCGCCAGTAGGAACATTAATATGCCGTCAGCGAAGGGGGCAAATCATCGGTTCCGCCAGCAGGAACGTTAATATGCCGTCAGCGAAGGGGGGCAAACCATCGGTTCCGCCGTTAGGAACGTTAATAAGCCGTCAGCGAAGGGGGCGAACCATCGGTTCCGCCGTTAGGAACGTTAATAAGCCATCAGCGAAGGGGGGCAAACCATCGGTTCCGCCGTTAGGAACGTTAATAAGCCGTCAGCGAAGGGGGGCAAATCATCGGTTCTGCCGTTAGGAACGTTAATAAGCTGTCAGCGAAGGGGGGCAAACCAACGGTTCCGCCGTTAGCAAGGTTAATAAGCCGTCAGCGAAGGGGGGCAAATCATCGGTTCCGCCGTTAGGAACGTTAATAAGGTGTCAGCGAAGGGGGGCAAATCATCGGTTCTGCAGTTTGGAACGTTAATAAGGCGTCAGCGAAGGAGTGGGAAACCATCGGTTCTGTCTTTAGGAACGTTAATAAGGTGTCAGCGAAGGGGGGCAAATCATCGGTTCTGCAGTTTGGAACGTTAATAAGGCGTCAGCGAAGGGGTGGGAAACCATCGGTTCTGTCTTTAGGAACGTTAATAAGGTGTCAGTGAAGGGGGGCAAATCATCGGTTCTGCAGTTTGGAACGTTAATAAGGCGTCAGCGAAGGGGTGGGAAACCATCGGTTCTGTCTTTAGGAACGTTAATAAGGTGTCAGTGAAGGGGGGCAAATCATCGGTTCTGCCGTTAGGAACGTTAATAAGGTGTCAGTGAAGGGACGGCAAACCTTAAATTCAGTCTAAATTGATGGGAGCAGTTGTGTTGGGGTGATGTTGTTGGTATCTGTACTGACCGTGGTATTGATATGAATTAGTAATTACATTGGTGTGTGCGTGCTCAGACTCTGAACATGGTCACGCCCACGCTGCGGGTGGAGGACTGCAGCATCGCTCTTTTGCCTAGAAACCATGAGAAGAACCGCTGCATGGACGTGTTGCCTCCGGACCGCTGCCTGCCGTTCCTCATCACCATCGACGGAGAGAGCTCCAACTACATCAACGCTGCGCTGATGGACGTATGTGACACAAATTTACTCAAAGACAAAAAGCATAATGTAAACGTAGGGAATCTGACAAATTATTATCATTTCACTGCTTCCTGATTGATCAGCAACTAAAAGACTATGGATGGGGACATATTTCAAGGCACTGGATGTAACGTTAGCTCTAATGGTAGCTAATGGGTTATCAAATATGTTGTTTTACCTTGAAATATGATCGATGTCCCCGGACTTTCACCAGCCATCGTCTCCTGGTCGATCAGGAAACACAGCAGGGCGACATTGTGCTTTTGATAACAGCATTTGAGTTCCTTGATGAGACGTCAGGGAAAAATGGCCGCCATGTGGATATGGTGCATTACAAGGAGCTGAATTAGCCGTTAGCAGCTCCTGTTTGCTTCCTGTTTGCAGGGTACAGACAACTTTAGCTGTGATACTAAGGAAAACTTAAAAACATGATTCTTATAATATTAAGTACAAATCTAAACCTATCATTATACATCATAATACCTAGTTTCATTATTATTTATTATAATGATAGGTTATGAAAGTAACTGTCCCTTTAAATGCCAGAGAGAGAGAGGCCTTTGGTTTATGTTAGAGAGCGGGAGAGAGCAGGCTCAGCATCTTTGTGGGTTAATGGAGGGTTTAGAAACACAGACCACAGTATTGTCCTACCCTACCATTTCACCAATAAACAACTCCATCCCCATGGAAACTGACCAAATGCCTGACCACAGAGAGTGTGTGTGTTCAAAGCTCCTCTTACATTAAAGCTCAGAGAGGGAAAAACCTTGCTCTTGTTGATCTTACTCATTCGCGTGCTTGATGTCATTTCCTGCTGCGTGACCTTATATTGGTGTGTGTTAACTGTTGCAGAGCTACAAGCAGCCGTCAGCGTTTATCGTTACCCAGCATCCTTTGCCCAACACAGTGAAGGACTTCTGGCGTCTGGTCCTGGACTACCACTGCACGTCTATCGTCATGCTGAACGACGTCGACCCTGCACAGGTAAACACACACACACACACACACACACGTCAACGCACGTGAAAGATTAACGAAAAGATGAGTGTGAACCAGATTCAAGTGTAAAAGTACTATATACGTGTACATATTATATACCCTGAACATAATAACAGGTAACAGTAACAGCACTGTACATATCTAATATCTACTCAAAAGTATACAGATATTCACGTTTCCTCCCTGAGGAATCTGAATATCCTGTTACCAGTTGCTCCTGGTGACATAGCTCTGGTGGAAAATCATAGGAATGACTGTACGAAGATAGAAAATCAACCAGTCCGTGTGTCTGTGTCTCAGCTGTGTCCTCAGTACTGGCCGGAGAACGGCCTCCATCGCCTCGGCTCCTTGCAGGTGGAGTTTGTCTCCGCAGATCTGGAAGAGGACGTCATCAGCCGAATTTTCAGGATCTACAACACAGCAAGGGTGCGTTTCTTTTACTCTCTGTTACCTCCCTTTATGGTTGATGTTACTTTGACTACTACCACCTAAAGACAGGGACACGCGTCAGGACTATATCTCCTTTTTTGGCTGGCAACCACCTCTATTTTGGTACAAGAACATGCAATAGATTTTTGTGGGATTTGCATGATCGTCTACCTGCAGAGCTACTGTGATTTACTGTGGTCCAGTGGTGACAGAGCAATGATCCAGTGGTGACTGAACAGTGATCCAGCGGTGACTGAACTGTGGTCCAGTGGTGACTGAGCAGTGGTCCAATGGTGACTGAACAGTGGTCCAGCAGTGACTGATCAGAGGTCCAGCGGTGACTGATCAGTGGTCCAGCGGTGACTGATCAGTGGTCCAGCGGTGACTGAGCAGTGGTCCAGTGGTGACTGAGCAGTGGTCCAGCAGTGACTGATCAGTGGTCCAGCAGTGACTGATCAGAGGTCCAGCGGTGACTGATCAGTGGTCCAGCGGTGACTGATCAGTGGTCCAGCGGTGACTGATCAGTGGTCCAATGGTGACTGAACAGTGGTCCAGCAGTGACTGATCAGAGGTCCAGCGGTGACTGATCAGTGGTCCAGCGGTGACTGATCAGTGGTCCAGCGGTGACTGATCAGAGGTCCAGCGGTGACTGATCAGTGGTCCAGCGGTGACTGAGCAGTGGTCCAGTGGTGACAGAGCAGTGGTCCAGTGATGACTGAGCAGTGGTCCAGCAGTGACTGATCAGTGGTCCAGCGGTGACTGAGCAGTGGTCCAGTGGTGATCCAGCGGTGACTGAGCAGTGGTCCAGCGGTGACTGATCAGAGGTCCAGCGGTGACTGATCAGTGGTCCAGCGGTGACTGAGCAGTGGTCCAATGGTGACTGAACAGTGGTCCTATGGTGACTGAGCAGTGGTCCAGTGGTGACTGAACAGTGGTCCAGCGGTGACTGATCAGAGGTCCAGCGGTGACTGATCAGTGGTCCAGCGGTGACTGAGCAGTGGTCCAGTGGTGACAGAGCAGTGGTCCAGTGATGACTGAGCAGTGGTCCAGCAGTGACTGATCAGTGGTCCAGCGGTGACTGAGCAGCTAGCAGTGGTGAGTGAGCAGGTAGCAGTGGTGACTGAGCAGTGGTCCAATGGTGACTGAACAGTGGTCCTATGATGACTGAACAGTGGTCCAATGGTGACTGAGCAGTGGTTCAGCGGTGACTGATCAGAGGTCCAGCGGTGACTGATCAGAGGTCCAGCGGTGACTGAGCAGTGGTCCAGTGGTGATCCAGCGGTGACTGAGCAGCTAGCAGTGGTGACTGAGCAGTGGTCCAGCGGTGACTGAGCAGTGGTCCAGTGGTGACTGAACAGTGGTCCAGCGGTGACTGAGCAGTGGTCCAGCGGTGACTGAACAGTGGTCCTATGATGACTGAACAGTGGTCCAATGGTGACTGAGCATGGTTCAGCGGTGACTGATCAGAGGTCCAGCGGTGACTGAGCAGTGGTCCAGTGATGACTGATCAGTGGTCCAGCAGTGACTGATCAGTGGTCCAGCGGTGACTGATCAGAGGTCCAGCGGTGACTGATCAGTGGTCCAGCGGTGACTGAGCAGTGGTCCAGTGGTGACAGAGCAGTGGTCCAGTGATGACTGAGCAGTGGTCCAGCAGTGACTGATCAGTGGTCCAGCGGTGACTGAGCAGTGGTCCAGTGGTGACTGATCAGAGGTCCAGCGGTGACTGAGCAGTGGTCCAGTGGTGATCCAGCGGTGACTGAGCAGCTAGCAGTTGTGACTGAGCAGGTAGCAGTGGTGACAGAGCAGTGGTCCAATGGTGACTGAACAGTGGCCCTATGATGACTGAACAGTGGTCCAATGGTGACTGAGCAGTGGTTCAGCGGTGACTGATCAGAGGTCCAGCGGTGACTGATCAGTGGTCCAGCGGTGACTGATCAGAGGTCCAGCGGTGACTGAGCAGTGGTCCAGTGGTGATCCAGCGGTGACTGAGCAGCTAGCAGTGGTGACTGAGCAGGTAGCAGTGGTGACAGAGCAGTGGTCCAGTGGTGACAGAGCAGTGGTGCAGTGATGACTGAGCAGTGGTCCAATGATGACTGAACAGTGGTCCAATGGTGACTGAACAGTGGTCCAATGGTGACTGATCAGTGGTCCAGCGGTGTCAGAGCAGTGGTCCAGTGATGACTGAGCAGTGGTCCAGCAGTGACTGATCAGAGGTCCAGCGGTGACTGATCAGTGGTCCAGCGGTGACTGAGTGGTCCAGTGGTGACAGAGCAGTGGTCCAGTGATGACTGAGCAGTGGTCCAGCAGTGACTGATCAGTGGTCCAGCGTGACTGAGCAGTGGTCCAGTGGTGATCCAGCGGTGACTGAGCAGTGGTCCAGTGGTGATCCAGCGGTGACTGAGCAGTGGTCCAGCGGTGACTGATCAGAGGTCCAGCGGTGACTGATCAGTGGTCCAGCGGTGACTGAGCAGTGGTCCAATGGTGACTGAACAGTGGTCCTATGGTGACTGAGCAGTGGTCCAGTGGTGACTGAACAGTGGTCCAGCGGTGACTGATCAGAGGTCCAGCGGTGACTGATCAGTGGTCCAGCGGTGACTGAGCAGTGGTCCAGTGGTGACAGAGCAGTGGTCCAGTGATGACTGAGCAGTGGTCCAGCAGTGACTGATCAGTGGTCCAGCGGTGACTGAGCAGTGGTCCAGTGGTGATCCAGCGGTGACTGAGCAGCTAGCAGTGGTGAGTGAGCAGGTAGCAGTGGTGACTGAGCAGTGGTCCAATGGTGACTGAACAGTGGTCCTATGATGACTGAACAGTGGTCCAATGGTGACTGAGCAGTGGTTCAGCGTGACTGATCAGAGGTCCAGCGGTGACTGATCAGAGGTCCAGCGGTGACTGAGCAGTGGTCCAGTGGTGATCCAGCGGTGACTGAGCAGCTAGCAGTGGTGACTGAGCAGCTAGCAGTGGTGACTGAGCAGGTAGCAGTGGTGACAGAGCAGTGGTCCAGTGGTGACAGAGCAGTGGTGCAGTGATGACTGAGCAGTGGTCCAGTGGTGACTGAACAGTGGTCCAATGGTGACTGAGCAGTGGTCCAATGGTGACTGAACAGTGGTCCAATGTGACTGAGCAGTGGTCCAGTGGTGACTGAACAGTGGTCCAGCGGTGACTGAGCAGTGGTCCAGTGGTTTTTGCTCCTTCTTGACAGTCAAACACTAAAACACCTTTATGTTGGTTTGTCTTCGTGGCTCCCAGCTGGTCTTCAGTTGTGTGCCAAACATGTTATTGGCTGCTGTTGGTTGAGACATAGAGCAGCTCAGAGTGCAGCAGATCCAGCTGGTGTTTCACTAATACTGAAAAACTGAGGACATGCAGCCAAACCCAAACTGTAAACGTCTGATTAAACACTGAACAGCTGCAGTCTGAAGTGATTTCGCTCATCAAGTTCAAATTTAATGAACACAAAATACAACGTTCACTGTGAGCTGTAACAAAACAAAGTGTTGGTAATTATTGCTGCATTTTCTACTTTAGGTTTTTAGTTATATATGTATGATGATAACAGACGCAGTGCAGCTCTCTGAAGTCTTCAGTCTGTCCTCTTAAGAATAAAAATCTACCTGCATGTTTACACCTGCTTTTCAGAGCATGCTAACGCCCGCTAATTAGCTGTTTTTGATGCTAGTTGATGCTAGCAGACCCCGGTAGCAGAGAGTCAGGTATTAGCCGCTTTAGCAGTGTTAGCGCAACAGAAGCCACGTCTTTCAGACTGGGGTTGTTTGATTTTGACCCCCTTTCCAGCCTCAGGTATTCAGGGTGTGCTTGGTTTCTGTCTGATAAAGTTCAGCTGTGCTTGTGTTTGATCCAAACCTCCATTTCTTTCCTGTTTCACCAAATTTAGATCAGAATGCGTTTGATTTAAACCTCTTCACCTCCCCGTCGGGCTGAGTTTAGGTTTTACTGCGTTTGATTTGTGCCTCATTTCCTCCTGTGTCTCACAACATTTCGTCTCTGTTTGATCCAGACTCCCCCTCCCCGCCCGCCTCGCCGTGGCAGGTCGGATTTAGCTTTCAGTGCGTTTGATTTGAACCCTCTCTCCTCCCTGTCTGCTCACATTTACGTTAGGATCAGTTTATCTTCCATCCTTTACCCCTCCCCCTTCATTCCCTTACCTGCCTTCTGTTTACCTGTCTCACCTCCTTCATTCCTTCCTTCCTTTACTTTCTGCCCACTTCTCTTGCTTTTGCTACTTGCTTCCTTATCTCCTTCTGTACCTGCTCCTTTCCTTACCTCACTCCTTTCCTATCCCCATCCATCCTCCCCCATTACCTATTTGTCCTCCCTTTCTTCCTCTTATGTCAGGGTATGTTTGATTTTATCCTCCTTTCAGCTCCTCTTCCTCCCCTACACGATTTTACTTTGGGGTGTGTTTGATTTCTCCATCCTTCCCTGAGCTTGTTCTGACCCCCCTGTCCTCCCTGTGTCTCCCAGCCGCAGGACGGGTACCGCATGGTGCAGCAGTTCCAGTTCCTGGGCTGGCCCATGTACCGGGACACGCCCGTCTCCAAGCGCTCCTTCCTCAAACTGGTCCACCAGGTGGACAAATGGCAGGAGGAGTACGACGGAGGAGAGGGGCGCACCGTGGTGCACTGCCTGTAAGAATACACACTCTCAGTACTGGAGATAGTACTGCTGATACTGCAACCACTGTTACTGCTGTACAATACTACTTATACTGCAATATAATACTACTGATACTGCAACCACTTTTACTGCTTTTGATACTGCAATATAGTACTACTGATACTAATACTACTGATACTGCAATATAGTACTACTGATACTAATACTACTGATACTGCAATATAATACTTCTGATACTAATATCAGAATTTGATTGCACTTTTGTTAACTCTTACTTCCTTCCCTAGGTATTTACCCCATTGATGTGATATGTACTATGAGCTCTTACTAGTATTTATTGCTGCTCTTACTAGTATGTATTGTTAGTTGTAGATCTCGTGCTGTATTTGATGCTCTGTTGATGCTTGTATGTTGTTCCTCAAATGTAAGTCGCTTTGGATAAAAGTGTCTGCCACATGGGTAAATGTATGTAAATGTAATACTACTGATACTGCAACCACTATTATACTACAGTATAGTACTACAGACACTACAACAGAGTACTACAGATACAGCAGTATAGTACTACAGACACTACAACAGAGTACTACAGATACAGCAGTATAGTACTACAGACACTACAACAGAGTACTACAGACACTACAACAGAGTACTACAGACACTACAACAGAGTACTACAGACACTACAGTATAGTACTACAGACACTACAACAGAGTACTACAGACACTACAGTATAGTACTACAGACACTACAACAGAGTACTACAGATACAGCAGTATAGTACTACAGACACTACAACAGAGTACTACAGACACTACAGTATAGTACTACAGACACTACAACAGAGTACTACAGATACAGCAGTATAGTACTACAGACACTACAACAGAGTACTACAGACACTACAGTATAGTACTACAGACACTACAACAGAGTACTACAGATACAGCAGTATAGTACTACAGACACTACAACAGAGTACTACAGACACTACAACAGAGTACTACAGACACTACAGTATAGTACTACAGACACTACAACAGAGTACTACAGATACAGCAGTATAGTACTACAGACACTACAACAGAGTACTACAGACACTACAGTATAGTACTACAGACACTACAACAGAGTACTACAGACACTACAACAGAGTACTACAGATACAGCAGTATAGTACTACAGACACTACAACAGAGTACTACAGATACAGCAGTATAGTACTACAGACACTACAACAGAGTACTACAGATACAGCAGTATAGTACTACAGACACTACAACAGAGTACTATAGATACAGCAGTATAGTACTACAGACACTACAACAGAGTACTATAGATACAGCAGTATAGTACTACAGACACTACAACAGAGTACTATAGATACAGCAGTATAGTACTACAGACACTACAACAGAGTACTATAGATACAGCAGTATAGTACTACAGACACTACAACAGAGTACTATAGATACAGCAGTATAGTACTACAGACACTACAACAGAGTACTATAGATACAGCAGTATAGTACTACAGACACTACAACAGAGTACTACAGATACAGCAGTACATAAGTACATATAATACTGACATGGATGAATAGTGGTGTTTTGTCTCCATCTAGTGGTGAGAAAATGGAACTGCAGTCTGGTTGTAATCTCTCTGACTCCTCTCTGCCCCCCCTCAGGAACGGGGGAGGTCGCAGCGGCGTGTTCTGCAGCATCAGTATTGTGTGTGAGATGTTGCGACAGCAGCGCTGCGTCGACGTGTTTCACGCCGTTAAAACTCTGAGAAACAACAAACCCAACATGGTGGACCTGCTGGTAACTAGCACACACGCAGGAATACACATTCTCATTGTCACCACCACACAGTCAGCTGACCTCTGACCTCTGCCCCCACAGGAACAGTATAAGTTCTGCTATGAAGTTGCTCTGGAGTATCTCAACTCTGCTTAGCCTCATCCAGAGACACTCGTCCTCCTCCTCCTCCCTCAGAGAGGAAGCTGCACACAGACGGGAGGAAGAGGAGGCAGAGGGGTCCACTACTGACTGAAGGTGAGGAGGAGGATGTTTTTGCACTGCCTTGTTTGACTGCGAGCACGGACACCTGAACTCGTGTCTCTCTGTTGTGTTGAACCTGTTTTTTTATTGTTGTTTTTGTCGTATTGATGAAAGTAAAGGAACCAAAAGAAGCTTCAACACGTCTGCGCTCCTGGATTTTGTTTTGTAACGTCAGAGCGGAGCACCGGGCCCCCGGGATCTAACTGAACTGTGTCGACAAGAGGGAGGAAATCTGTCCCGATGCGCTCGAACTCAACTCCTCTTTGCTTCCTGTCAGTCATCAGAGACAGAAGTCCTCTTCCAGGACCGGACCCGCTCCCCAAAGCGTCCCGCCAAAGGGTTTCAAACTGGTGACCCGGTCTCATTATTAGATTTCACACCTACAGTTCGGTTCATGCGGTCCGAATCAAAGGGGAAAGAATCCGGTTCCTGTTCACACTGAAGTTTCACAAACGATCCAGGAGGACTGGACATGAAGCTCCTGCAGAAGCAGGACGTGGACGAAGCGTCCTGTACGGGAACGATTCTGGGCTCATTGCTGTGGGGTGTTTTATGGACTGAACGAGCTGACAAAGTAGACGCAGTACCGGCGCCTGCTGACAGCTTTTGACCCGTTAACCAGGGAAACTACCCGTGCTGACATGTAGACGATTTGCATAAATAGATTAATTATAGGATCGCTTCCTGAAAACATTTATCACCAGGTTAGCCTCTGAATAAAGCTCAGTAACAGTAGGAACACCTGCTGGTTCGTTCCCTGCAGAGCATGATGGGATATATAACGCCCGTCCTCGCAGCAGCAGGAGGACGCGTCACGTGAATATTGTACCTTTATGTTTCAGGATGGTTTCAGATTTTAAACGACGACGTCACATCCGATTGGTCATAGAGCAGCGTGACATCAGAGCTCAGAATCATCGTCGGGTTTAAATTAGAAACGATTGGTTAGGTTTGATTAGTGTTCGTTCACTAAACCCCTCCCCCAAACAGCGACTGTCCAATCAGTGTTCGTCTTCTCTAATGTCCGCTGCTAACGTTAGCATGCCTGGCTAACTAGCTGACTACCTGCAGTAGAGTCAGATTAGCATGTTAGCTTCAGAATGTTTTTATATTTTTCTGACTTCCTAAGACGTCTTATTTCTTTAATCGCCGTGTCTCAACTCGGATACTTCCGTCAGTACACTAACATGCAGTACGCTGTGTACACTGTGTACTTGCGTACATTTCTTCTCTAATCAAACCGTTGTTGTGCGCTAACTGGAAATCACCTCGCGCCTTTGACCTCTTCTTCTTCTTTGATGGCGAACTGGAACCGGGCGGAACATTATCGCCAACATTTAACCGTGGCTGTAGCCCGCCAAAATATCTGGACTTCAGTTTATTACACTCTGCTTTTTACAGTCGCAACAGCTGCAGCTTTCTCACCCGCCGGTTTAAAAACAGGTTGGTGGCCCCTCCCTTTCCGCTACGTAGCCAGGACGGCGCCTGTTGAGGGTGAGAAGCGTCTCTTCGACCATCATGAGTCACCGTCCAGGTCCTCATAGTGCAGTAGCCTTGTTTCCATCTGCATTTAATTTCCCAAAAAAGTTGTTGCGCTCGCTTGAGCTGGTTTTTGAAATGATGGAAAATAAGTTCTGACTTAGCGAACTTGTAACTCGCGTCTGATCAGCTGTTTCTGCTATCGGCGTCTCGCTCGGTTGTGCAGAGTTCTGGACGCCTGGCGAGAAGTTCCCGCAGCTCGCGGCCGGTGACGCTCGTTTGTGCTGAGAACAGAGGTGGATGCAGATCTGGGCAGGAAGCCTTCATCAGCTGTTCTGCTGAATGATGCGTTCACCTCTTAAAGGTCCTTCTCAGATCCTTTGCTCTGCACGCTGATCAGACAGGTTCTCACCGCATGTGCTGCTGAGTCTCACTGAACGCTGCTTCTGCTGAGTGTAATAAAATATTAACGACTCTAAACGTTCATAAAATAACTACTTTGATTCATTTATCACCACTGATGAACCCACAGAGGATATTATAGCGTTTAAAGGCATTATATTATATGGATATTCCCATAAGGTTCTCCTTTAAAAAAAGTTCACTGAATCTGTTCTGGGACTTTAGCCAGTTCCGATATTCAGTTTCTCTGTGGTTACGGATCCAGTTCCAAACCTCCCGAACGGCTGGCAGAGTCACCGATAATATCAAACACGTTTGACCTTTAGGGGTTAAAATCCGGATGATTACGTCAGCACTTTTTGAGCGGGACAAGGAGACGGTGCTGCCAAGCGATGGTAAACATTCTGTGTATGTCGCCGTATCGTAGCGGCGCTGCTGATGAAACGTGGTTCTGATGACACACAGGTGGAGATGCAGAAGCTGGAGCGACCAAACGATGAATCAAATAGTCCTAATTTCCTAAATAAAGTTTAAATCCTGAGGAGTGAACATCATCTGTGTTGGGCTCATCCTGACGAAACAACCTCAACTCAAGCTCCCCTTACTTGTGTTTCTCCCGGAGCTTTCAGCCGTGGCAGGTTTGGTGAGAAGTCCTCGAGGACCTGGGAGACCTTGAGTTGAGATTCTTTTGTCATCGTCTGAGATGAATAACGTTTTAACATAATTTAAAAACTAACTGGACCGGAAAGCTCCGACCACATGGTCTTTAGTTTGAACCTGGTCCCCTTCAGCTTGTGGTTTCTGTGTTTTCCCCTCAGCGGGGGCTTGGTTTGGTTTCAGACAGAGGTCGAGGCGAGCTGTTAATAATGTAAATAAGCAGGAGGAAGCAGGAAGAAGAATATTTATTCCTTCAGTTGTTCTCAGTGTCGATGTTGTCGCCGTTCTTGTGAAGCACAAAAACAGAGACAATCATGCTATTTTAGTGTTAGACCAGGACCAGACATAACCCCAGGTACACGTGGCTCTGGGTCGGTCTGACCCCGGGTACACGTGGCTCTGGGTTGTCTGACCGGTCACACGTGGCTCTGGGTCGGTCTGACCCCGGGTACACGTGGCTCTGGGTCGGTCTGACCCCGGGTACACGTGGCTCTGGGTCGGTTTGACCCCGGGTACACGTGGCTCTGGGTCGGTCTGACCCGGTCACACTGGCTCTGGGTCGGTCTGACCCGGGTACACGTGGCTCTGGGTCGGTCTGACCCCGGTCACACGTGGCTGGGTCGGTCTGACCCCGGGTACACTGGCTCTGGGTCGGTTAACCCCGGTAATGTATGGTTGTGGTTTTGACTGACCCCTTTGACGTATGGCTCTGGTGCTTATGAGAACATTATTGTAATGAAAACTTTTATTTATGTTGTATGATTCCAAAATATTAAAATTAAAAGTCTGTATACACTCTTCAACTGGAGTCTGTCGCCTCACTGACGTGTGTGTGTCGCTGAGACAGCCAATCAGATCAAGCGTGGAGCTCCTCGGGGCCACCAGGGGGCGCTGGTGAACCCAGCATTGTGGTAAATCGTACTGACCTGCAGATGTCAGAACACAACTGCTCGTCTTTGTCCCTTCGCCACTGACCGGAGTGTTTTTCCTGCTGACCTGCTCGTAACATCGACATTTTATCTCCTGTTGGTTATTGATGTTTCATTATTGATGTATGTTTGTGTGTTTTTATTACCGACTGTACATGATGTAAGGCACCTTTACATTAGTTATTATTATTTATTATTAAGCAAAAAGCGGAATATTTGATTGTGTTCATGAATAATGAGGAACATTCAGCGTATGTTGAATTTAATTTTACATTTAAATAGTTTATGTGAAATGTTGCACGCTTCGTTGTTTGTGAAGTGTCTTTCTTGTACTTGATAACTATATTAACTACAGACTCATAGGAAAGCTATTTATGGAGCTGAAACGATTCATTTCATAATAGATTAATCATTTATCACTCAAGTCTCTTCTTTAGCACAAATGCCAGATTTATACAGTAAATATATCAATGTAAAATCAATATATCTGTGGGGTTTGAACTGTTGATTGGATAAAATGACCAATCGGACATTTACTCTTTTTCCTTATTTATAGGCCATCATAAAATTAATCTTTAATAAATGATCTTCATTACATTTAGTCATTTGGAACACGCTTTTCTCAAAGTGACTTACATCTGAGGAACAACATAGAATATACTTTATTTATCCCGAGGGAAATTCAAGTATCCAGCAGCATGAAATATAATACATTAAACCTATATTAAATAGAATTAAATTAAATAACGTAGAACACAGTAGCCACAGTAAAACAAATGGAGTGGAGCTGGCTTGGACAGCAGTCTGACACCGAACACAGAATAGAAGCATGAGCAGAGCATCAAATACAGCAGGAGAGAGGAAGAGATAATAGCACATCAGAGGGGTAAAACCCGGGAGAGAAGTCAGAGTTATCAATAAAGGAAGTGTCGGGTAGAAGAAGAAGAGCACAGGAGTGCCTGTTAGAGGTGTTAATAAATCATCTTTAGTAAATATTTAATTAAATACATTTAAATAACATATGTTTAATAAAATAATCATAGCTTTATTTCTCTACTGATGAGTTCCGGTTCCGGCCGGTGGCGGCAGCAGTGACGCGCCTCAGCGAGCATCCTGCCGGAACCGAGGGTCGGCAGAAGAAGAAGTGCTTCCGGTGCGGCCCGGCTCTGCTGTGTAGTTTCCTGCTGAAGCTGTTCGCTGCGCGCGACTCTACAGCTGCTCTCACGCGCAGCACGCAGGTAAAACGCTCACCTTTCCGCCACCTGACGGCGGCTAGCTGCTGTTAGCATCGCGCTAATGCTAGCGTGAGGAGCGGGGAGAGGAAGACAGCCGG